GGGAAGGGGAAGGAGGCGTGAGGATGGCTACAGTCTGTTGTACTGCAAAACCTGGAATTCCCTGAAACATCGGTACTATTAATAGCTTTTGATTTGACGGATTCTTTCCATGTCTAAGACCAAAATTGGGGCTAGTTTCATGTCAGCCCAAAGGGCCAGAAAATGATAGTCCATTCTAATTTATTACCAAAAATATTTTCTTTTAGGAGACAAGTCAAAGTTTGACGCAGATCGCTAGCTTCATGAATCATTCTGTTACCTCACTCAATGCTTCTATAATAATAATGAAAGAGCGTCTTGTCAGAAGTTTTGCTACGAGCCCCGATGGTTGTAAGTGAACCGCGGTTATCGCGTGCCGAGCTTCTGTCAGACTTTTTCCCCAAGGGGGAGGGGGGATTTCAGAAGATTGGACGGTGCCAGTAGCCGGGGGGGGGGGAGGGGATTTCCCTTGGCGTCAGACTAGTGGGGCCACCAAAATGTGCTTTGGTGGTATTTAATGGAAGAAAATAATGGGATTCAGAGTTATCATTAGATTCAATCTTTTCTCCTTGCGCCAAAAACTTAAGCTATGTGACTCTCTAGTAACAACGAAGAAAAGGGTGGATGGGGTGGCCGCACATGTGTCCCTTTATCTTGATTATGGAGTGGCTGCATTTTAGGAGTTTGTTTCGTGAAAAAGAATTGCAGCAAAAATATTGTATCTATGGGCACGCCATTTTGCGACCAATCAAGAGGTTCATTTTGGATTATACCTGAATTCGGTGTTTCTTTTAGACTATTTGATCAGGGGAAAGAATTGTTCAAGCTTTTAGGGAAGAAATTATGGCGCCTTGTGCCATATATAAACTGAATTTAGCCCGGTTTTGGCGCAACACATTGTAATCATTTGGCGCAAGCTTAGACTCAAGCCCGTACTGTCACAATCATCAGCACGAGGGAAGGGGTAGCAGAAATTGAGGTTGCTGAAGACTCTGGTGCAGAAAATATGGCAGGGGTCCCCTTCAGGTATACATTTTGGCACACAATTGAATGCAGTGTCCCTTTTAAACAATTTGGGAAGGGGTCTTTTCAGACTTTAGTGTGGGACGCGCCAAAATTGGCCAGAATGGCGATCAAGGGCTTGTCTAACTCTTCTTAAACCCCAGGATGTTGGTGAATTTGAATCCGATGGCGTTGTTGGCGGAGTTGATGGAATGTTGTTTTTTTTGTTTTTTTTGGTAGTTTTGTTTCGGATGCTGATTGTGTCGCATGTGGTGATATTTTGGAGTTGTCGCTGATCCTGTTGGGGGTTATTTTTTAGTGTAGTCGTTGAGCATGTTGGTAGTGTTATTTTTGGTGTTTGTATTTATTTTTGTTGTGCTGTTGGGCGTGCTGTTGTTCTTGCTCCTTTGTTTGTGTATTTGGTGGTTGTATTTTTGCGGTTTTGTTATTCGTTGTCTGTTAACAGACCATTGCCAATATGGAGTCCACAAGGGACAATGAAGAGATGAGGACCTAAGAATACACAAAGACGTGAAATAGAGATGAACACAGTAAGTATGGATAAGCCTTGATGCTTTTTTGAGGCTTTACAACTCTAACTGTACTTTTATGAAGAAGTTTTTTGATGGACTTGTGAATAGTTGATTTTCAATTAGAAAAGGATTGAATACATTAATTTCTTCAACAAATTTTTTTAAAATGATTTGAGAATCATATTAAAAATTTAACATCTTCCCCTTTTCAAGGGCTTTATTGTGACAAGATTCAATTATTGTATAATCTAAGAGGGTTTAAATATTACTGTAGAGGACTTTTATCCACTTCTTGTACTGTTGTGATTAGGAACAATTACTTGGCTGAGACAATCATCAGGAGGAGAGAATAAACACAGCACTGGTTTGAGACTGTCTCTTTATTTTCTCTCTGGACCACGCAGTTGTCCAGGCTTGACTTGTCTCCGCCATGTTGACAGTATCGTCCTCTAGGTCGTATGGTCATCTTGGGCGTTTGAACATTTTTTCCCCTGTATTCTTACAGATATAATTTGATCAAGTAATTTCAGCTATAAATTCATTACCGTTGACAGTTTTCACTAATGTCCACATGATGCCGACCACACAGGCAGTGTTACTGACGTGATGCTGACCACACAGGCAGTGTTGCGACAAATGGTGATGTGCTGGATAAGTTGATGACTCAATGAAGGCCTGTCTTGCTTTTCACTGACCGAAGTTTCCTATCGGCCATATTGATCTCTGCTTCAATACGTCATGATCTTAATGGAAACTGTTTATTATTTAGAACATTAAGAACTTAAGCAAGAATATGTCATGGTTGGCTGTCATGATTGGCTGTCATGGTTGGCTGTCATGGACGGCTGTCATAGATGGCTGACATAGATGGCTGTCATGAATAACTGTCATGGAGGGCTGTCATGGATGGCTGTCATTATTGGCTGTCATGGACGGCTGTCATAGATAGCTAGCATGGATGGGTGTCATGGATGGCTGTCATTGAGGGCTGTCATGGATGGCTATCATTGATGGATGTCATGATTGGCTGTCATGGATGGCTGTCACGATTGACTGTCATGGATGGCTGTCATGGATGGATGTCATGGAGAGCTGTCAACAATTTCTGTCATGAGGAACATACCAAAGGAATGTTTATAGTAACATTGAGAGAGAGACAAAGAGAGAGAGAGAGAAAGAAAGGGAAGGTATAGATAAAGAAATGGAAGGGAGAGAGAAATAGGGAGAGAGAAATAGAGAACGGGAGGAAAATAAAACATGCAGAAACTGAATGAGAGACATTGTGTTTCGTTCGTTTGTGTGTGTGAGCGAGAGCGAGAGAGGGAGAGCCAGAGACAAAGGGAGAGGGAGGCAGAGAGTGAGATAGAAAGAGATCGAGAGAGTATTATATATTTTACTTGAGATTGACAATAACTCTACACTGCCCTTTTAATTTATTATTATGCTTTCGGTGTCTTCTTCTTTCTCATCATTGAAAACAAGACCTCCCTGTATTTACTGCTCATCTTCAAATAGACAAAAATATTGGAACTTGAGTTCAGCGCCTCCAAGTTAAAAGCAAATGTACCGCAGAATAAAAATGTGTTCTGAAGCTTGCGTCCCACCGTGTACTCATACTCTATGAGCATGGCCATCAGGTTCCCAACCACGGGCGTGAAGCTGGCGATGAACACCACAGACAGCACCACGACCATCTTGACGACCTTCTTGTCTCTGTTGGAGATGGATTCGTTTTTGGACGCTGAGGATGTAGTGTTGCGCCATTTTGACTTCTCGGTAATTTTGTAGACTAGCCCCACGGTGCATACAATGACGCAGACAAAGGACGACAACTGGAAGAACGTGCTGCAGTAGAGCGAGGCATTTTCTAGAGCAGGGCCGCCTGGAATGTACGCTATACTTATGACCTCGCTGTTGGTTCTGGCGCTGACAGACGAGGCGAAGTGGATGGCGACGTAGACAGGAACAACGGATAAAATGATAATGGTGAATATCGCGATGACGACAATGGCGGTTCTTCTAGGCGTCAGAATGCTCTTGACCTTGAGAGGGAACGCGATGCACAGATATCTCTCGAACGTGATGAAGGCCGTCAGCCAACAGGAAACGCGGGTGAAACAGACGTGTGGCCAACCGGCGGTGATGTGCTGGACGCCGATGAAATCCACATGCGGCAACCCGTCAACCACCAGCGGGTTGTAGCACAGGCTCATCCAAATGAGGCTCGCCAGCCCTCCGATGTCGGCTATAGACAGCCCAAGGAGCGTGATGTTGATGGGGTCTTTGAAGCCCTGCTTAACAAACACGGCTATATTCACTACGTTCAGAAATACGCCTACCACTCCAATTATCCCGACGATAATACCATAGTTTACGAACATACCAACCCGAAGTAGCTCGTCGCTGACCAAATCAACTCCACGTGGGCCTTCTGGTAACGGCGTGGTCGTGTTTGCCATGGATGAATTGCTCGATTCTATCGGCGCCACTGTCTCAGGGCTCATCATGTTTACGAACGCTATTTTGTTTGTTTTCGTGTGCTGTTAGTCAATTGTTTATTGTGTTGTTGTTTTGTGTCCTGTATTTGTTGGGGATGGCTATTCTTTTGAGGTTGTTCTGAGCGTGTTGGTGGATGCGAAGCTGATGGCGTTGTCTGTGGAGTTGTTGGTACGGTTGTTATTTTTGGTAGATATGTTTGGGTTGCTGGTGTTGCTGCAAGTGGGTGTATTTTTGGTGTTGTCGGTGGGCCTGTTTGTGGTGTTATTTTTGGTGTTGGTGTTGTTATTTTTCTCGATGGTGTTGCTTTTTGTGGTTTTATTGGTGATGCTGAGGTTGATGTTAGTTTGTTTGTTTGATGGTTGAATTCTCTGTGGTCTTGTTATCTATTTGATAAGCTCAAAAACAAAACGTCAGCTATGTGATAAAACATCAGCCATGCCAGCGCCGCATATTGCTTTGCTTTCTGTGTTCAGCTGGAGACTCCTGGCATTTAGTGTTAGGCGAAGATACAAGTGATCCATGTGTTTATCTTTCAACTTTTATTAACGTCATTGTCAACATGATAGATGGTTCCCCTTTTCTAATGTCATTTTGTTGAATTCAGTCCTTGATTTGAAAAACAACAACACATTATTTTTCAATAATGAGCTCCTAATACTAATACGTTAACGGACTTCTGAAACCTCTGAATATGCATCTTCTTAATTAAAGAAAAGAAAATCCAGATGAGATGAACTGACGAGCACCGTCTGCTGAGTTGATGATGACCAATGTCTGCTGGTTTGATCTCAATTTCGCTCAAATTTCCCTTTATTGGCCAGGCGACAAACGGCAGGAAAAAAAATAATTCCGCTCTGAGTTAAATTTATATAGCAATAAATGGTTTATTGCAAATAAATGATCTTGTTCCACTCACTTGTACACGCATGCTTGGGGTAAATATAAGAACATGGTCGCAAATAAGAACATGGTCGCAAATGAATCGATGCAATGAGTTCCTAGCTTGAGAGATTCCTTTTATGTGTTTCGCCAGATGATGGACAGACGCTGCCAGGGGACAGAATTCTTAGATTTACATTCATCACTTTAGAATGATCTTGTCACGTTTACACACCAGCAATCAGCGATCTGTCCTACGTGGTCCCGTCTCCTACAATGCTTACCTCTACTAGACGTATCACGCGTAGGTGGAGTGCACGTTTAACTAACGTTGACTAAAGTGCAGCGTAGTGCAGCGTGAGTCTGAGACGTATTTCACATTACGGGTAGAGGGGGCGCGATGTTTTCAATTTCAATATGTAATTGTGTCGTTCTTTCTTGTGATCTCTTCTTGTTATATGATTCTTATACTTGATGTTTAAAATGATTCTTATATAATACTATAATATATTATAAGTAATGCAGAGGTGTAGCAAAAGGGGGGCAGGTGTCCCCGGCCGCCAGCTAGTTGGGGGCGCCAAAATGTGCTTTGATATTATTTTATTGATAAAAATAATGGGTTTGAGAGTTGAAAAAAGAAAAGGGGTCGATTTAAAATGAAACGTGTCCCTGGGCGCCAATCGTGTCCCTGGGCGCCAATCGTTTCCCTGGGCGCCAATTGTGTCCCTGGGCGCCAATCGTGTCCCTGGGCGCCAAACACACTCGCAACACCTCTGAAGTAATATAGATCTTAGTTTCCACAATTCAAAATCACTTTTTTTTTTTAAATTAACAATTTTAATACTTAAACACATGAAATATATTTATTGCAGTTATTTTTTTCTAATTCTGAGCTTATTGTAGAGAGACCACTTCGATAGTAGGACACGAGCCAACTTTTATAAGTGGACCGTTTGGTTTCTCTAGCGTAGAAAAGAGATTGGAAAAAAAATGGACCTTGACTATGAGGTGGCTTTCTTCATCTAAGTACACATCTCATCTAAGTACACATCTCATCTAAGTACACATCTCATGGACTTAATGACCCATTTTCTAGCCATCGCAATCAGTCTATTTTTTTTTTTTGCCTTAACCACACCGCAACTGAAACATTTAAATGTGCAATAATTAGCTAATCGATCTTTGTATGTATATGTGTGAAGGGGGCTGATAGAGAGATATAGACAGTGGGGGCAGAGAGAGAGAGAGAGAGAGAGAGAGAGAGAGAGAGAGAGAGAGAGAGAGAGAGATATATATGTATCGAATACAACAATTAAACAATAAATTGTAATGGCGAGCAAGTAGCCAACATTATAATTAAACACCAACCCACCCGTAGCCTAACGGATAGATTCACGCGTTTAAACGCATCTTAAAGCTTAAATAATGTTTAAACGTTCCCATTTGATGACTAAGACGCACTCGTCGACGGTACAGGAGGCGTGTCCGTAATTCGTATGCACTTAGTCGCCACATCGTTTCTGGGATTTAATTGGTCCTCCATCAAGTCGTTCACTGATTTCAGCTATTAAGACGAGTCTTCAAGCGTCACATGGCTTTTTTTTTCTAACAGGACTCTATTTGAATCTATTTTTTTTTTAAAATCTGAAATGTGGGTTAGTATTTATTATATATTAGAGATTTCTTATAGTGTACGCATTGGACTTCATGATATAATTTAAAGAAAAGATTTTTTATAGTGGTCTTTTTTTTAGGATACCCAGAGAAAATCATCCTGATCAGAGGTAAGGTTCTGGGGAAAAAGTGTGTGAACTCACGTAAGCTCCCCTCTTCCTAAATAAAGAAGAACTTATTTCTTAGCAACAGCAACAAAAGTACAGGAAAGCCTTTCGAGCCCAAGTGTCTTGTCTAAATTTTCAAGAGCCTTGACTATGCTTGGGCTCTGATACATCAGGTATATTTTGTTAATTGGTCGTCCCGCCACTGCCAACGTAACTTACGGAACACGTCTGAATCTCAAGTCCCAGTTGCATTTTTTTTATAAATAAGGCTCCACGGGCAAATAATCGAAAAAAAGTCCTTATTACTTACTCATAAAAGTCGTTTGCTTGTTTTTTAAATTATAACTTGAGCTGGACATGAATCAGATTGGATTACTCAACTGTTACCATCGGGCTCTCAATATTTTTTTTTGTTTTTTTTTAACCCGGCTCATCGCTTCTTTCCATCAGTGCCATCCCGTGACTTTCGGAAGCTCTTTGACATTTCAAGTTTACAATTTTCCCAAATTATTCCCAAAAAGTTCCTGCAGCCACGGGGGGTTGCAGGGTCCACGCGATGACTCTGCCTTCTAATTCCCGTGCAGTGGCGTAGCCAGGGTAAGTACCACTCACGACGGGCCATTTGTTGTTGTTGTTGTTGTTGTTATTGCTATCTCTTCCACGAAAACAATTACGTGGCTCGCAGGAGATGCCACCTCTCAATATAAGTCCCCCCCCCCTAATAGTGCCAACCAGATCGAACCGCCCCCTCCGTACCTCCCTTCTTGCACCACTGTTACCATCCTGTAGGGTCCAAACTAGAGACCGACCGTAAGTGATTTTCTGACTTCGGCCGAAGCCGAAAATAGGCCGAAAGTTTTAAATTACTTTCGGCCGAAACCGAAAAAAGGACGAAAGTTTAAAAATGACTTTCGGCCGAAACCGAAAAAAAGGCCGAAAGTTAAAAATGAATTTCGGCCGAAACCGATGCCGAAACCGAAAATGAAATATTAAGATATTTTGAAATTCGTTCCCGCATACATTCTGCATACATCGAAAATGATGGGGGAAAGTATAAATATTTACATTCTTTTTTATAAAAAATGAGATAATCGTGAATATTAATAAATAAACATCTAATATAGGGGTCTCAAACTCGCGGCCCGCGAGCCATTTGTGACCCGCAAGACGATATTTTGCGGCCCGCTACATGACAGA